CATCAATGTAGCATGCTGCGGCTGGAACCCCCTTCAGCACTTGATCCATGGCTCTCTGGAACACTGCTGGTGCGTTACGAAGCCCGAAAGGCATAACGTTGTACTCATACAAACCGTCCACCCCGTGAAATGCTGTTTTCCGTTTATCTGCTTCTCTAATGCCTATTTGATTGAAGCCCTGCCGCAGGTCCAAGGTGGTAAAGACGGTGGCCCCTTCCAGCCGGTCGAAAATGTCTTCAGCAGTCGGCATAGGGTATCTGTCTGGGCTTGTAATCTTGTTCAGCTCCCGAAAATCCCCGCACATCCGCTTCGCTAGAATCTTTCCCGTGATGTCCTTCCTAGCAGCCACCACCGTGGCCGCCGCGTAACTTGATTCTGACGGGCGAATAATCCCTGCAGCTAGCAACTCCTCACATTTCTCCTTGCAGATGGCTGCATCCTCCGCATTCATTCGCCTCCTGCGTTGGTATGTAGGTAGCTCAGTCGTGAGGTTCAGCTCCAGCTCTCTCCCCTTGTATCTCCCCAATTCCTGCAGGTTATAGGCGAAGGTGCCCCTATGCTGCTGCAACACCTCCCTGATTGCTTCGGCTGCTTGCTCCCCTATACCTGCCCCCAGCTCCCAGGTTTTGCCCGGCTCTGCTTCCGTCCCTACTGGTGGTGCAGTTTTGATCTCCTTCTCGTCTGTGAGCTTGCTGACAGCGGCGTAAGCAGCCTGCTTGCTGCCCCTGCACTTCTCCTCTTCCGTCTTTCCCTTTTTCTCGGCTGGCCCCTTTCTCATCTCACTAATTAGCCATCGCAGTGAGTGCTGGTCTATGGCTCGGCCCAAGGCAGCTTTGCGCACCTCCTCCCCTACTCCATCTGCTGCAGTTGCCCCCGGCAGGTACCCCATGGCTAATTCCCTCTCCAAAGCAGTCGGCTCCTCCCATCTTTTCTTACGGTGATCATACACCATCCCTGGACCTGGAGTCCCTTCCACTTCGACAAATCCCCGTGCCTTTGCATAGGCCACCAGTGTCGGCCAGGCCCTCCTCGCTTCCCCCACTCGGTTACACTGATACTGTCGCGGATGATCTGGCTTTACCACTGGGGCGGCCACTCTCCCTGGTTCCAGAATGTCTTCCACGATTCGGCTCTCATCTCTCTCCACCCTTGCTAATCTCGCCCTCAGTTCTCCTTCTGGCAGGACGTTCTGCCAGTACTGCCGCACTCTATGACACCTTGCCCCCAGCTGTGCCCCGTCACAACTCACTCCCCTTCCCAATTCTGCTTCCACCAGTTCGCGTACGGCTCGGACCGGCTCCCTGCTATCACTCCTCATATCCACATGTTCTAGGATGTACGCATATTCCCCGCCAGATTCTCTCGCCCACCTCATAATCGTCAGCAGTGTTGTCACCATCGCCGTGCGGTCATCCTGCATTCCTCTTCCCTTCCCCGCTCGGGAAGTACCCTGGCACTCCCACCCTGCTACCAACAGGTCCACCTTTCCCCAGCGGTTCACGTCTTCCTTGGTAAGCTGTCCCACATCCCACTTCTCATTCTGCATGGCCTCCCGTATCACTTCCTTCGCCAGTTGAGCTGGGTACCGCTGCTGCAGTATCTGTGCATGCTTCCAAGCCATCCTCCTCACCTCCGGGTCTATTTCCACATACACCCATCTTTTCACCTTCAGCCCTGCTTCCAGTGCCGCCGCTAAGCCTGCCCCCAGCCCTCCAAACAGCTCCACTAAGGTAACGCTATACTGGTTCAGGTTAGCTCCGACCTTGCCCTCTTTGGTACTCCCCCTCCTTACGCTCTCTCTTCTCATGCCCTCCGCCCTCCAAGCCTTCTTCGGTTCTGTCTTGACAAACCGCACTGGCAGCTCACTCAACTCCTTTCCCTCAATCCAGAAATCCGAGCGGTAGAGCACCTGTTCCTGCCAGGTACAAATTGTTGTACCTATCTTGAATAGCAGCTCCATCCCCAGCAGAACATCATAATCCTCCGATTCCGTCAGCCCACATTGCACTCTTATCGTCGTTTCTCCCTTCTCTCCCGGCTGCAGAGTAATCTCGATGGGGTCCTTAGTACAGGGCATCCACTTTGGTGCCCCTCCCTCGGCTGTCATGATCAGTATGCCTCTGTTTACTATTTCCAAGTCCCCTTTCTCCCGTAACTGTTCTGTCAGCTTCCTTCCCAGCAGGACACTCTGTGCGCCTGTATCCACCACGGCGTTCTCCACTAATATGCCCCTGACAGCCACTGCCTTAGGTTCTACCACCAGGGCCGTGGGTTGGCAGACGAGTCTCTCCTCAGGATGCCGTCGAGCCGTCCTCGGCTTATGGCTTTCTTCTTGTTGCCGAGGGGTTCTCCTTTCAGGCTGCTTCTGCTCTGTCCTGCCATCCTTCCCGCCGCTGCGCAGCCCCAACTCCTCTCGGTCTCTAGGTGGTATGGCCATGGCCCCGTACTCTGCCTCCTCTCTCTCATACTCCTCCTCTTCATCGTCCTCCCAAGCCAGCAATGCCTTCTCAGGGTCCTCACTAATCTCAGTCTTCTCCAACTGTCCCTTCAGCTTCGCCACCTCTCTCTCTAACTGTAACTCCCTTGCCGATTTTCCTCGCATTCTCTCTCCCTTGCTGTAGCACCTGTCTTCAGTATGCCCCCTTTTCCCACACCCGGTGCAGATAGGTGCCTTGGGGCAGTCACGTCTGAAATGTCCTTTCATCTTGCATGTGTCGCACACTATGTCTATGGCGCAGTCCTTCCGCACGTGCCCCTTTTCGCCGCACTTGTAACACCTGCGTCTATCTTCAGACGGCCTCTCTCTTCGTTCCTCTTCCCCCTGTCTCCCTTCCACCGCTGCCCAAGCAGGCCTCCGACGTTCGCTCGGCCGACTGGAGCTTGACCCCCTCATTCCTTCGAAAAACCTCTTTCCATCCTCCACTTCTTTCGCCACCTGGTACACCTGTCGCAGCTTCGCCCGTACCCCCAAGGAGTATAGTCGGCTTCTCATGTCTCGTATCAAGTCCCCATCCAGTCCGTTGACGAACTTGGTCACTAGGATGCGCTCCTCCACGCAGCCCATATCCTCTGCCAGCTCCAGTAAACGGTTATAGTAGGCCAACATCGACTCTGCCGGCGCTCTTCTGAAGTCTTGAAACTCCGCCATCCGGTCAGCCGAATGCCCCGGGAACTGCTCCTGCAGGCTTTCCAAGAAACGGTCCGTAATATCTGCCGGTAAGATATCTCCTCTGTTGCTCCGCATCAGCAGCCCCTGCCTCTCCACGCGGTAATGAGTCAACGCCTCTCCTTTGAGAGTCCTCCCCAAGCCTCTGAAAAATTCAATAGGATCCAGTCGCTCCCTATCCCAGCAGTAGCGAATGTCTTCAATCATCATCAGGTAGTTTTTCAGCGTGGGCTCCTCTCCGGGTGCCCCCGAGAAGCGGTCTGGTACCTCAATTTTGGGTGGTGTAGTACTCATCGACCTGCCTGTCCCCCAGCTTGTGTTCCCTCCTTCTCCACTCCCTGCAGGTCGCCCTGCTCTCCCGGCCTCCATGGCTTCGTATCCTCCAGCAGAGAATCCGTGATATGCTTCCTTGCCTCGCTGACTTCGTCGTTCCACCGATTGATCGTCTCCTCCCCTCAGACTATGCCTTTCTTCACGTTGATCTTCTCCTCCCTTCTGACTTCGTCGATCTTCATGTTGATCGTCTCCTCCCAGATCTGGATTTCCTCGGCGAGATCCACTCCCCACAGGTCGCCCTCCACTCCTCTCCGCGGGCGAGTCGCATGCAGAGCTCGACTGTTGTTCTCCGTGTACACCTCGTTCTTCCTCCCGATCCCCGCCTTGGTTACCGCGCGAGATCGTCCCTCCTTCGCCCGCCCGAAATCCAGGCATCCTGACCGGCGGATCACGTCCCTCCATCATCCTCGCCGGGAATCGGTGTCCAGAGCGCAGTTGATGAGTGTGAAGCTCACGGTCGAAATTACTCATTCCTCACGGTGCATCACCGTGGGCAACTCCAGGCAGTAGATCCTGCCACCTCTTCTCTCAACAATCGTAATCCTGACTACCCTTTTTGCTTGTATGAAACAAGACTTAACTCCCTCGCAAGGGCTCCGCCGATTTGCTTCAGCTCCTCTCTACTGCTAGTTCCCCGTGGTTTAGGAAATCACAATTGCAGTAAACGAGAAACATACAAGCAAAAAGCAACGAGTCTGAGCGCTACCCCAGTCTACATCCCCTCCTGCCTAGGTGCCTTGTCCCGCAAGCTACCTCTACTCCTAAGCGCGAGTCAGCCGAGCTGATCGCGTAGGCTTCAAGGTGCTAGCTGGGTCCCACTCGGCCCACTAGGCATGCACCGCCTTCCAGCCTGGTGAATGGCGAATTGAATTCCCAGGCTGGCTGGAATCGAATTCGCCACCAACCTCCCCCCCAACCACCTCGAAATCCTCAGCAGCTCGACTCTGTATAGTACAGTAACATTCCAAAAGAGCAAACAAAGTAAAATGCAAAAAGCAGTAAACTATAGTACACCTCACCTTGGCTGCTGTGTAATTCACACTTAGTTGCCAGCTAAGTGTTAATCACGCGACAGAGGGAGACAGGGGTGGGGAGGAGGGGAGATGGCAGAGAAGAGAGAGTGCGTTGGCAGGATGTGAAGGAGAGGATGAAATCGCCTCGCTCGCATCTCCCAACCCCTCTGCCAGCCACCACTCACTGCCGCCCGGAGTGGTCGTCACTTCCCCACAAAGCCCTCCGTGCCCTCCCCTTGTCTCCACCCCTCTCACCTGTTCCTCCCACTCCTCACCCCCATCCGCCTCTGCCACCCCGCTTCCCCTGCCAACAGCGACAGCCTCTCCCACAGCCTCGTACCAACCCTGTCTCTGCTTCTACACCCACTCACCACACGCACCATCCCCCATCCCACGCACCGCCCACCATCCCACGCAATACCCACCATTCCCACGCACCACCCACCATCCCCACGCACCTCTCACCACCCCCCTGGACCTCTCACCTCCCCATCAAGCAACAGTGCGAGCAGATCCGAGCAGGCGGCACGGAGGAAAGGCGATCCGTGGGATGGGAGATGGCTTCTGCCGCCCTCTGCTGCACCCACGCACATGCGAGAGGGAGAGGAGGAACAAGCAGATGAAATGGGTGGTGGGTACGGGGCATGGGCGGCAGAAAGGCAAGAGGATGAGGGCGGGAGATAGAGGAGGCGTGGGTGAGAGAGGAAGTACTGTTGATGAGAAGAAAGAGTGGGAGAGAGAGCGAGGAGGGGCGACAGGGAAAGGAAATGGGTTGGAGAGAGAGGGGGGTCGTTGTAAAGCAAGTCGGCAGAGAGGAGGTGGGTGAGAGAAGGGCAACCGCTGTGAGAGGGAGTAAGGAGGAAAATGGATAGAGGCGGGAAGGAGGGGGGAATGGTCGAGCATTATTGGGAAATTGGGTACGGGCATGGTGTGCACACGTACACGTGTGCAGTGCGAGATGAGCATGGGACTGTGCATGTGCGCATGCATGTCTGCGCCAACCATGAATCACCTGCACGTGCGCTGCTGGCATGTGACGCAGCGAGACGCAGCGCCCACTCATGTGGCGGTGGCGTTGCAGCCCCAGTGGAGGCGCGCAGAGAGTCCACGTGAAGGGCACGGAGGGCCGCCATGGGCGAGGACGCCACGTGGCACGATGCCTGGCAGATCATGCCCGGAAGCTCATGCCCGGCAGCTCATGCCCGGCAGCTCATGCCCGGCAGCTCATGCCTGCCATGCTGGCGCGGAGGGCGATGGGGGGAATTGGGAGAGGGCGGGGCGGGGTCAGACGGGAGTGAAGGGAGACGAGGGGAGAGGGGGGAGATGAGGGGAGAGGGGGACCCGAGGGTTGTGTATGCAACGGCAATGCCCGAGTGAGCGGGTAATGCACGAGGTGGCAGACTGTGCGAGGGAAGGGAAGGGAAGGGGGAGACGAGGAGATGTGGACGATGGATGGCGGAGGCGAGTGAAACGACAACGGCGGGAGCGGCGATGAGGGCGCATCCCTGGCAGAGGCTTTGCGCGCGATATGGGTACGTGCGGCATACACGGTATTTCCTCACCTCATCACCTCTGTATGCCCTACTGCTGGTGAATTTAAGCGGCCTGCCTGAGTGTGGGAGCGTTTGACAAAAACACTGTCGAGAGGGACGCGAGAGGTGGGCAGTGCGAGCCGCCACGGCAGGTGGGCGGCAGGCGCGCAGTACGACAGATCGGCAAAAGAGACGGCGGGGCGACGGCCTTGACGACGAGTAGAGCAGTTGACGCGTGAGACACGCCGGTCGGTGTCTCGACGCCTGTCATACCTCTCGCGCAATCCACATGTCAGCCGGTGAGTGGCACACAGCAGGCTGCAGGGCGCGTGCAGAGCGCGCCGAGCCGAGCAGCGACGCGGTACAGCCAGCAGTCCGCCATTCCGCGCGTCGCTCCAACCCTCACCGCATCTGCCGCCAACGGCCTCCCCGCCATGCGCTCGCCCCCGCGACTCACGCTCCCCATCGCTGCTACCGAGTCGGCGCGCAGCTGTACAATCGTTTTTTATTTTAGCCTATGGGAAACTCGAGTTTTTTTAAACTAAAACAGCGCGTCCGCCGCCGTAGCAGCAGCGATTTCCGTCCTAAATTCTGCCATGATCTAGGGGTGTGGGAACGTGGCGATCCTACTTGCTCCGCTGATAGCTGAATTCGAATCTGCGAGCACAGGAGGAGAGGAAGTGCAGCAGGGTGATGAGTGTTCGGTATGTTGAAAACGATTTAAATCGTTTTACTGAGATATAACACGGTAATAGTAAAGATAAGATTCGAGCACCTCCCTTTTGTGGTCACCTCGCTGGACCGCATTCGACCCTGCCCACCACGATTGGAGATATTTGTGTTGTCGAATCAGTTTGCACACCGTGGTGCTTGACTGATTGACGATCAAGCGAAACATCGCACACATTTTCGCGAAACAGCATCACCACTGCACCAATAGCACAACCCATCGCCCAATTCCTGAGAATTTTTGTTGACACTGATTGGTTGATCTTGGATTGCGGGAATCTGGAACGACCAGTTTGGGAGATAGGAGCATCGCAGATGACTGGAATGGAAACCAAGCGGTGTGCGTGTGATGCGTCAGCGTCCAATCGCAACAACACTCCCCCTCCCTCCCTCCCGACCCGACCCGAGCTCATCACCCTCGAGTTCAAAACTGGCATCAGTCAGTCTCAGCAGAGCACCAGCACTCGATTTCATTTCATCTCATCGCAGCTTCTTCGAGAGATTCAAACATCCACAATGGCTGCTCTTGCCAACGCTGCTGTGCTCCCGTCCACCTTCGTCGGCCAGAGCGCTGAGCTCGCCGCAAAGGTGAACAATGTCGAGGCCCGCGTGACGATGAGGAAGACCGCCAAGGCGGCTTCCAGCAGCGCCTTCTACGGCCCCGACCGCAACCTGTTCCTGGGCCCCTTCAGCTCCCCCCCGTCGTACCTCACCGGCGAGTACCCCGGCGACTACGGCTGGGACACCGCCGGTCTGTCCGCTGACCCCGAGACCTTCGCCAAGAACCGCGAGCTGGAGGTAAGCCTAACATCACATATAAGATGCATTTGTCACGGATGCACATTTATTGCTGAATGAACAACGCAAATATCACGTTTCAATGTTTATATGAGCAATTTCGAAACAGTTTTACCTTGGCTGCGTTACGACGCTAACCGTTTCACGGTTCTGACCGAATTCACTGTTGTTTCGCCTGTTTATAAATCTTCAGGTCATCCACGCTCGCTGGGCTCTGCTCGGCGCGCTCGGCTGCCTGACCCCCGAGCTGCTGGCCGGCAACGGCGTGAACTTCGGCGAGGCCGTGTGGTTCAAGGCCGGCGCGCAGATCTTCTCCGAGGGTGGCCTGGACTACCTGGGCAACCCCAGCCTGATCCACGCGCAGTCCATCCTGGCCATCTGGGCCACCCAGGTCATCCTCATGGGTGCCGTCGAGAGCTACCGCGTGGGTGGCCTCGAGGGCTTCCAAGAGGTTGAGGACCCCCTGTACCCCGGCGGTGCCTTCGACCCCCTGGGCCTGGCCGACGACCCCGATGCTCTTGCTGAGCTGAAGGTGAAGGAGCTGAAGAACGGCCGCCTCGCCATGGTGTCGATGTTCGGCTTCTTCGTGCAGGCCATCGTCACTGGCAAGGGCCCCCTGGAGAACCTGAGCGACCACCTGGCTGACCCCACCGTCAACAACGCGTGGGCCTATGCCACCAACTTCACCCCCGGTGCTTAGATGTTTTACCCTTCCTGTACATTTATTACTATACATTAGTTCAAGCCAATTTCAGCTGAAACCTCAATGCATGTTTCCTGAACCATATCTAAGCTTCACATTCAACATACAACATTTAATAGCTGCCAGTAAACGAAGGGAGAACCATTAAGTTGAGAACACTAACGTAGGAAAGAAGGAAGAAAAGGAAGAGGAAGAGTACGAGGTATACATGTAGGTTTATGCTAGGCTGCAGTGAGGCATGCTGTAGGGTGTACAGGTTGTTACGTTTAGCTATTTGTATTCAACCCTTGACCAACTCAATCCGCTGTTTCTCATTCTGACATACTATCATCGAGTAGGTTCGTTCCCCCTACCCTAGTCTGCTTTGCGCGTTGCTACTTCTGTGCGGGAGCTGCATTACTGCCCTACTGTCATGCGCTGCCGCTCCTACCGCCCACTACTGCATGCGCTGCTGCCTCTACTGCACGAGTTGCTGCAGCTGCTACGTGCACCAGTGCTGCTCTCACCCACGCTGCTCGTTGCGCGCTCCGACGCTTCGCGCTGCCACTCTACGCGTTGCCACATTGCGCGCCACTGCGCGCTCCACTCAGCGCTGCTGCGCGAGCTCCGGCGCGCAGCCGCGCGCTGCTCCTGCGCTGCTCGCGGCTGCACGCGCTGCTGCGAGCCGCTGCTGCCTGCTACCGCTCGCTGCTCTTCCCACTGCCGCTAGCTGCCAGGCCCAGCTCGCTGCCACTCCCGCCTGCGCCTGGCTCGCGAACGGCTGCTGCCGCACCCCTAGCCGGCCGCCTGCTGCCGCTCAGCGCTACCAATCGCCGAACCGTGCCGCACTACTTACCGCCAAGCCGCGCCGCCCTGCCTACCGCCGAGCCTCGCCGCCCTGCCTACCGCAGAGCTGCACCGCCCTGCCTACCACCGAGCCGCGCCACCCTACCTACCGCCAAGCCGCGCCGCCCTGCCTACCGCCAAGCCTTGCTGCACTGCCGCCCTGCCTGCCGCCACACAGCCATATTGCCGTGCCACTAGCTCTCAGTACGGTACTACCTCTTGACCTAGTGTCCGCCATGGCGACGATTACTGTGCTCACGTTTGACGCAGAGGGGCGCTCTATCGAATTCGAGTCCTGGCTTAAGGACCTTCACTTGTACCTGCATAGTGTTACCATAAGACCTTCACCCGCACCTGCATAGTGTTACCATATGACCTTCACCTGTACCTACATAGTGTTACATTGACCTTTACATGTACCTGCATAGTTATTGCGGTGCGTTGCAGCCACTACAGCAACAGGAGAAGCCGAAGTCGTCGCTGTCGCTACCTAGGTCGGCGCTTCACCACCTTCTCAGTCTTCCGCCTCCCTCTGCAGAGCCGTCTACCACTGGTACTACTCCTCTTTAACTGTTTCAGTCGCCTAACCTGTCTCAGGCACAGTTACCACCTGACTCCCCTCTTCCTGCTCCTCCTTGTTACTCTTCGTTAACCCACTCCTTGACTCAGCGTAGGGAGCCTATGTCTGAAGCTACCTCACCTGTTGCTCGTACCCGTCGTCTTCGTACTCCACTTCCACCTGATCCTAGTACTCACGCCATGACACTTCGCCCTTCCACTATTTTGCAGTCTATTGTCCTGCCGTTACCTCCCCCGTCTTCTCTGCCTGACGTTTCTAACATTGTGTCTAACCGTGCTCGTGCTGCCAGTCCGACTGTCACTCGTTGCCTTGCCACACTTGTGACGGACCCTACTTTTCCATCTGCTACTGCGTCTGCCTTGGCCGTTGAGCTCACTGAATTTGCTGCTACTTGCTGCCTTGACTACCTCGCGAGCTTGGTTTCTGACTCTGCGTGTCTTGCATCCGTCGAGTTAGCCTTGTCAGATTACGTATGCTATTTAGGTTTAGGCTGTAGTGGGGTAGCCAATATGGGGTACAACCCCTTCTAGGGTTTGATATTTGTACCCAACTCTTCCATAGTTCCTTCATTCTTGCCTATACTTCTGACATGGTATCAGAGCAGTAGGCCCGTAGGACCGTCTTTTTTTTCGGGCCCACCTATCACTACCCCACGAATGTGCCTCTCACTGTACCTAGGACGTGCTGCGCTGCGCACACTGTCTGCATGCTGCCTGCTGTCTACTGTCTGAGCTGTCTGCTGTTGCTTCGCGCGCAGACCTAATTCTAACGCGCTGCCTCGTCTTTACCCCCGCGGGTCGCCCTCTCCTGCCCGAATCGCGCCTCAGCAGCCGCGTCGCATCTCGCGCACGGCCCGCGCAGCCCGCGTCGAGCCTGCGCAGCTGCCCCGCGCAGCCTGCCCCGAGCCCGCGCGACGCGCGCGCGGCCCACACCTACCCTGCGCGGCCCGCACCGAGCTCGCGCAGCGCGCGCGCGGCCTGCCGCTGCCCGGCGCAGCCCGCCCAGAGCCCGCGTGGCGCGTCCGCGGCCTGCAGCGCGCTGCGCGCCGTCCGCGCAGCCCGCGCCGCACTCTGCCAGCCAGTGCGCGGCCTTAGGCAGCGGCGCGCGCCACCCTACCGCCACCACGGCCTCGCCCTGCAGTCGACACGGCCCCGCCCTGCTGCTGACACGACCCGGCCCCGCCCTGCCGCTAACACGACCTGGCCCCGCCCTGCCGCCGACATGGCCCCACCCTGCCGTTGACTTGACCCGACCCTACATCAACTGCCGCGGCCCTGACCTGCCGCTGTCATGGCCCCAACCCTGCAGCTGACGCGGCCCTTCACTGTAGCCGCTG